CTGGCTCCCACATCCACTCCTGCTAATAATCTGGGAGGCAGTGGGAATGGCTGAAGAGACTGCGTTACAACCACACACGTGGGAGACCTGGATTGAGATTCTGGTTCTTGGCTTTGGCCTGTCCTAGTCTTGGTCATTGGGAGTATTTGGGGGAGTGAATCAGTGGATGGGAACTCTTTGTCTGCCTATTTCTCACATGTTGAAATAAAAAAGTGATGTCTATGCTTTCAAATTATTCATGGATGTATGCTAAGGTCTTTAAAATCCTGAGAGATTATAATTTTAGAAAGTACTAGAATAGGATCATGTTTTACTGGCATAGTCCTTTCAAGAAGACAGACTTGGAATAAAATCTCTTTTGCAACACTTACTAGGGAATAATGCCAGGAATGCTACTTAGTATTTCTCCTTTTTGTTTTCCTGCTGTGTATAAAGTGGACTATCTCATAGGTTTGTTATAGGCATAAAATGTTTATCAAGCACTTACCATCGTTCCTGGTCCATGGAAAGCTCTTAGTAAATGGAAAATGTAAAAATAACCACACCCATAACTGTAAGACTTGAAACTAAATACTTTATATGCTTCCAGTTTATCAGACTAAAAAAAAAAAAAAAGAAAACCTAAAATACCCAACTTCAGGTATTTTAGTTTAACAATTTTGTGCTGATGTGTGAAATTGTGTTTGAGAAACTATTTAGTTTACAAAGGTAATAATTTGTTTCCTTTTATGCAGATGATGAGATGTTAACACAGGCTTGCTAATTCAATCTAGTTAAACTTTTACTTATGATTCCAAACTTACGGTACGAACACAAAATTATCAACCTCAAAAATATGAGGAGGAATAATAGATCCTTCTGTAGCCTGCAGATAATTGGCAAGTAGTTAACCACGTCAGTGTTTTCTTTTGCATTGTTCTAATCAAGCCAGTGGTCTTTGTGGGATTGTCTCTTCCCTTCTTCTGAAAAGAAGCCAGTACTAAGGTCTGAGACAAAGAGCAGGTGTTCTGGAAAACAGCCACTGGAGTCTGAGAGTGAGGACCTTCTGGCCGAAAAGCCCACGAGAGCATTTTAGGCATGGAAAGCCGAGACACTGTGGCAAAAAGAGTAGTACATGAAGGATCTCTGTGGGTGAGACCCCAGTGGAAAGAATGGGCCATTAAAGAGGGATGTACTTTTCTCTAAAGTGAGGAGAGAACTTCCACTTTGCTATGACCTTGTCTAAATACTGACAGAGTTTGTGGATTTAAAAGGCTTCCATAGCCTTGGCAGCTCATGTCAAGAGCCTTGGGTGATCACTGACATCATACACAAGAGTGTTAATTGTTAAATTAACAACAGGAGTCACTGTGCATTAACTTCCCATGCAGGACCTCTGTCCTCAATGAGTTGTACTATGAGAACTAACTGTAAAACTTGTTCTCAAAGATTTATTTTGTTTTAGTGTATTAACTGGAAGATATGAACAGCCCTTATGTTGACTGTTGAGGAACAGTTTTTTTGTGTGTGTGGAAATTGTTGAACTCTTTACTTAGTATAGAGTTGGTCTTCTGTATATGAAGTTAACTGAAAATGAATCTTAGTGGAGAATGGGACTGGGAATAGGTGAAGGAGGAGGAGGGGTGGGAGTGTGGGTATGATGGGAAGAAACCACTATATTCCTATAGTTGTACTTATGAAATGCATGGAGTTTATATTCCTTAAATAAAAGGTTTCTTTGGGAGACGAAAAAGGAAGTGAGGACTTTACTAGTTGGGCCAGTCCTTGGCAAAATACTAAAATACATCCAGTTTATGGTTTACTCCTTTCTACTTTCTGTTTTTCCTTTCTTCCTTGCGTATCTAAATTATTAAGCAAAATGATTTCTTTACTTAATGATGCTGTGTAAGTCATTTGTAAAGCACTTGCTCTTAAAGACTCAGGATATAACTTGTCCTTTTAACTTCAATTTTGAAATAACTATAGGGACTGGCATTGCAGTGCAGAGGGTTGAGTTGTCACCTGAGAAGTCAGCATCCCATACGGGCACTGGTCTGTGTGATGGCTGCTCCACTTCCGATCCTGTTTCCTGCTAGTGGACCTGGGAAAGCAGTGGAAGATGGCCCAAGTGCTTGGGCTCCTGCCTCTTACATGGAAGACCCAGATGCCTGGCCCAGCCCTGGCTGTTGTGGCCATCTGGAGAACGAACACAGTGAATCAAAGACCTCTCTTTCTCTGTTTCTGTAGTTCTGACTTTCAAATAAATAAATAAATAAATAAATCTTTAAAAATTATAGAGTTTTAAGAAGTTGGAAAAAACAGCACTGGGAATTCTCATATACCTTTCACCCAACTTCTCCTGATGGTAAAATTGCATGTGACTATTGCACCTCATAAAAACTAAAAAAATTCACATAAATGCAATACAATTAACTAGATTACAGACAGGGATTTTTAAAGAATACAATTTCAAAGGTAAAAGGAAACCTTTGAATTTTAATGTCAACTGTAGCTGCCTGTACCTTGGTTTTTACACTTGCCCTGAGTGGTGATCCTAGACTAACCAGCTGTCTTCGGTACTAAGTCCCTTCAGAACAGGTTCTTGCTCACCCTTTAGTCTCATTACATATTAATTATTACAAAATTACATAGTACATACCTAGCATTTCACAACTGTTTTTGTTAAAAGGATAACTAATAGTTGTTTTTCGTCTATAAATGCTCTACCGTTTCCAAAGCCTATTTGTATCTCTACTGAGAATGATCATGGAGTCAGGGAAAGAGCCGAGTTGAAGAAACATCTAAGTCTTGGCTTCATGACCCAAGTCTTGTGAGGAGGTGCTGAATGTCCTTGGATCTTACACTCCTCGTATTGTGCTGTTATAGGTACAAAATGGACTTGTGAAGACTCAAGGAGGTAGGTGCTTTTTAAAGTGAAGAACACAGCATAGGGCTCTGCGAGGTACACAGGATAAGGGATTTGACTGCCATTTTTCATAAACAAAGCTCAGAGGGTGAGTCATTTGTTGAAAATGAGAACTAGTACCTGGCAGTGCTGCTAAGCACCTTGGACAGGCTATCTTCCACGATACTGCATTGCCTTGTTAGATAACGGGAGAGTGGATTAAACAACACACACACACACACACCCCAACCATGGGCAGTGACGAGGATTTAAGAGTTTGTCTTCCATGTGGTCAGCGATGTCCTTTGCTTTGTGCCTAGGAAATCCTCCCTGGGGGCGAGGGGCTGGTGGTGGTGGTGGTGGTGGTGGGGCAATGGCTACATGAAAGGTGGGCCATGGCTGTGGGTTGCTACTTCCGGCATCCCGCCAAGTGCTTCCCCAGTTGACACTAAATCTCCAGGTATCGTGCCTGCCAAATTCTGGATCAAATGTTTATTCTCTTATCCATTGTGGAAGACATGGAAGGATGAGAACTTGGAGCTCCCAAGTACTCACACTGCATTGTTTTTTAATCCAAAAAAATTTAAATTTAGAAATGAAAAATTAATAAAAAAGATTGAGGATTTTTGGAATCATCATCATTTTCTGCTCATGAAGATGATATCTTATTAACAAAAAACACATGTAAGCGTGGGGTTTTTAATAACCTGAAAGACGGGTAACACACTAGCCAACGTGCTTTTCAACCTGCCTGAACACTGTTGATATGCCCTTGAACTCTTTATTAGAATGCCTATTTTGGAAACATTCCTTTGGCTTATTCAGTCGCCTCATTTCATTGAAGTGGAATAGCGGATGGCAAATGTGTTATTTATTTACAATGTTGTTGTCTGAAAATGTCAAAAACTCTGGTAGCTGAAACCCCGGAGTCCAATGTGAAGCATTCAATTTTTGGTGGTAATTTGCAATTTGCCTGCCCCAGTCCCACCTCGTGCCCCCCGTTACATACTGGGAATGTCAGTAACCCAGTTTAGGGACAGACAGATGTAGAAGGGAGTAGTTCTCCGGGACTCTGAGCAGTTTCTCTGGCGTGATGCTGTCCCTCCCGCCCTTTTTGTCCATTTAAGTGACATGTACTAAAGGTAAGGAGGACAGAGGAGAAAAAGGGGAAAAATCATTCACTTTGGTCCAGTGCATCGCAACAGATTTGGGAGCGTTCGCTTTGCAAATTACTCCAAGATGTTCTTTTAAGAAATAAAACTTTTGCAAACTTTTAAGAGATAGAGGAATATAAATATGTTTTCCGGTTTTAAATTTGTTAAAGCTCACATTCTTTGAATCATAAGATATTAAAGGTACCTAGAAAGATTGTTTCTGAGGCTGGCTTTGATTTTTCTCATTGCTTATCACCTAAAACATGAAATCACTTTATTTTAACCTCCATAATAGAATTCAAATGGGACTCAAAGCACAACAGGTCTTTCCTTGAGTTAAAAACAAAAGATTTTTCCGAGAGATACGCCACAGCACACCTAAAGAAAGTAAAACTTGCTACTCCAGTAAAAGCAGAATGCCCGTCTGGAACTCCTTGTGTGTCTGTGCTTTTCACTGCTTTGTGCTTTCTCTTGTTTTTCTTTCAAGGAATAGAGAGAAAGCTTGCTGAATAGAGAGCGTTACATGACTGCACCTCTGTGTAGAAGCACACCTGATCTCCAGTCACAAAGGACAGGGACTGCCACACGTTACAACCACACAGACACGGGAGCGAATGCAGACTTCCCCAGGATATTTCCATGGAAATACTCCTTGAACACGATTTCCCGAAGGACTACTACCCGCTCAATACTGCAGCATGACTTATAATATCAATTACACAAATTGGCTGTTACAAAGCACAGCTTGAAACGGCATATTACTCTTGCTTAACTGTTGACTATGATAAGACATTCCAGTTTCAGTTCAAATGCCAGAAATAACTAGAAGAATAATTCTGAAGTGAGGTTACAATTTGTCAGAAAATGCATTTTTCATCTTAAAAACATAGATGTAAGTAATCAACAACTGCAACTTGTGATTATTTCACAAAATACTAAGGAATACAAAATGAGATACTTACCATATTTTCCAATAATTAAGATGTAGACGAAAACAGGACCAGATGTCATTTCCTTCCTCTGAGTAACTGATTAATAAAAGTGAACACAATTTGGTCCTGGTTTCTGAGCGGCGTTCGGCTCACGGCGGTTGTGTGCTATTTCTGTCTGCAATCTTAACAGCTATAAAGCACTCCTCCCTCCTTCCTCTCCCATTTTTTCTCTCTCTCTCTTTCCCATTCCCTCTTCTTTTTTTTTTTTTCTTGCCCAGGATCTCTCCCCTGCTCTCTTTCTCTAAAAGTCTTAATATCCTTATTTACGTAGACACACACCTCCCCCACCCTCAACACACGCACCCACACGAACTCAGACAGGACTGAGCAGCGAGGAAGTGTCGGAGAGAGAACACGTAGGCTCTCCTGCTCACTCTCCACATCTTGTTTCCATGTCCTGAGACAGTGTACAAATGAGGGGGTATGTGAACACTGACAAATGTCTTAACTGATCAAAGTCACACTACTGGAAAGAAGGGAAGCTACAGACGTATTACAAATCCAAAAACATTTCCCCCACTTGGAACAAGAGACTGGAGAGAGAACAGAGCTACACAGAGTAAAATGCCTTTGTGGAATTAACTATAAAGCAGGAGTTAAAGTGTTACTATAGCAATCTTTTGTAATGCCTGAAAATTCAAACAATAAGATACGATTCAAAGGAAAATACTAGGAAATGAAAAAAATCTGAGAGACCGGCACTGTGGTGCAGTGGGTTAAAGCCCCGGCCTGAAGCGCTGGCATCTCACATGGGCGCTGGTTCTAGTCCCGGCTGCTCCTCTTCCGATCCAGCTCTCTGCTATGGCCTGGGAAAGCAGTAGAGGATGCCCCAAGTCCTTGGGCCCCTGCACCCACGTGGGAGACCTGGAGGAAGCTCCTGGCTCCTGGCTTCGGATCAGCGCAGCTCTGGCCATTGCGGCCATCTGGGGAGTGAAGCAGCGAATAGAAGATCTCTCTCTCTCTGTCTCTACCTTTCTCTGTAACTGTCTTTCAAGTAAATAAAATAAATCTTTTTTAAAAAAGGAAAATATCTGAGATTGTTTTGAATGCACGAACATTCAAGTTCAAAGTTGCTACAAACAGTAGACTGTGACATGTGTAGTAACACCTTCCTGGGTTTGAATCATGCAGACCCTGTAACTCTAGATGGATGCAGAGCTGGCTCTTGACTGAGTCTTGGCCTCCAGAGGAGAATGTTTGTCCAGCCAGGTGGCTGTGATGGCCAGCACAGAGCATGCTGATGCCTGGTGTAGGACCCAATGCATAGGTGCATAGTAGGGGTAACTACATCACAGCCTTTCTTAGGCTGATGACTTGTATTATTTGACCAGCAGGGGAGAAAAGTATGCAAATGTAAATACAAGGAACATTTATTTCCGTGGAACCTATTTGCTTCCCACTAGGTCATTCTGATTCCATTTCTTGTTAATGTTTTTCTGGAGCAAGTGGACAGCACGTGGATATAAAGAACGTGTTTGTGAGAGGAATGCCCCTACTTGCGGATTTTCTACAAATAAAATGTGTTTAAGTTACATATCTTTTTTTTTTTTTTTTTGACAGGCAGAGTTAGACAGCGAGAGAGAAAGAGAGGCAGAAAGAAAGGTCCTCCTTTTCCGTTGGTTCACCCCCCAAAATGACTGCTACAGCTGGCGCGCTGCGCTGATCCGAAGCCAGGAGCCAGGAGCACCCCCACCCAGGTCTCCCATGCGGGTGCAGGGCCCAAGCACTTGGGCTATCCTCCACTGCACTTCTGGGCCACAGCAGAGAGCTGGACTGGAAGAGGAGCAACCGGGACAGAATCCGGCACCCCAACCTGGACCAGAACCCATCTTTATATCATTGCCTTCAGTCTAATAAACCTATTTTCAAAAAGTGGCTCAAATATTGTATTTTTTTAAATAAATGTTTAGAAATTTTTTTTAGTTTTTTTTTTTTTTTTGGCAGGCAGAGTTAGAGAGAGAGAGAGAGTTATAGACAGTGAGAGAGAGAGAGACAGAGAGAAAGGTCTTCCTTCCGTTGGTTTACTCCCCTAATGGCCGCTACAGCCAGCACTGTGCCAATCTGAAGCCAAGAGCCGGGTATTTCCTCCCAGTCTCCATGTGGGTGCAGGGACTCAAGCACTTGGGTCATCCTTTGCTGCCCTCCTGGGCCACAGCAGAGAGCTGGACTGGAAGAGAAGCAACCGGGACAGAATCCGGCACCCCAACCGGATTAGAATCTGGGGTGCTGGCGCCACAGGTGGAGGATTAGCCTAGTGAGCCGCGGCGCCAGCCAAAATGTTGTATTAACACTGCTTTTCCCCTGTAGATAAAAGTAATTCCATGAAAGGAGAAATCTGGCAAAGGAAGCTTCGTAAATCCTTTTTAATTCAGCAGATTGATTTAATGAAGACAGAGTTCCTTCAGTGCAAGTGTGTATGGTTTACTGAGTTTAGAACCCCTGATGCTGCTGCCTGTAGTTCACGGAGCACGTCCGGGCTCACCACCCTAGATTTCATGCTGAACCCTAGTGGAGATGAACACTCTTATCTTGGCAAATCTTCTTGAAGCCTTACTGAGGCTCTCTGAATGATAACGAAAACTTCCATGTGAAAATTATTTCGTATAACAACCTAATGAGTCAAGCCAGAGAAGCGTTATTACCCTGCTTGCACTATATAGACCCAAAAGAACTCTGTGGTTTTTCCATCCCACCTCGGTGGAAACAGATTGTTGTGTTCTGCTGCATCCTATCTGAAAATGAGATAATGGCACTTGAGGGCTTTTGTCCATGCTTCGGGACTCATTAGCCGACATCACTTTCAGCAGTAGAAACAACCATTTTTTAAAATCTTATTTTGATAGTAGGCCTGGGAAAGTCCCAGTGTGGGAGTCTGGTAAGATCTCACTCAGAGCCTTGTGGTGTACAGATATTTAGGTAACAGTTTAACAACTATACATTAAGACTACTAAGTACAATTCAAGGGCTAAAATGCATGCAGTCAAGACTTTCATTATGTGGATCCATTTCTAGTTGACAGCTGTCAATCAGAGAAGACCCTCGAGGTGCTTATCATCTCCAAGCCATGCCAAAAGACAATTTCAGCTGTTAGGATTTAGCATAATCATATTATTTAATGATTCACAAACAAAGTGACTTTTGGGGAGTGATATGCCAAATTTACATCAGGAATAGAGCAATTAACAGGTACAGATACTTCAAACGATGTTTTATTTCAAAATCTAGATTTCACCCTAGATAAAAGTGATCAGAAACTATTGTGTCATTTTAGCAGAAAATCAGCTACTAAATGGTAAGCCATGTCCCACAGGGATTCATGTGTTGCTGTGTATCTCGCCGTCTCTTTCTGGTACCTATTCATCAGTCAACAATCATCTTAATCAGTAAATAAGTGATGGAACTAGTGCACACTGCAGATTTTTCTCCAAATCTCTCCTGAGGATGCCCCTCCTCCGCTTTCCCCCCGTTTCCCCCTCGCCTAAAGCAGTACATTCTTTCCCTCTTCTGCCATCTTGAGGATCCCTGAGCTCAATATTATTAACCTTGTCTAACTTAGTTCTGTAAAGTACAGCAACTGCACACACTCAAGCTGTTGACACAAGCTATCTAGATTGAGCCCACTTGGCTCAAGACTGCATAAAAGAAACAATAAAATCTGTTTACTGGGTCAGCGGCTGGGGTCTGGAAGTCAGCCTTGTTTCTTCGCTCCTTGAGCAGCCCTCTTTATTCCCTTGGCTTTCCTGGACGCGTTGTGCCTGCTTAGTCATTGCAGCTCGGCTCCAGTTGCTAGACTCCTTGATTACACATCAGCTGCAACAGCAGCCTTGCGTCTAATCATTCTTCGTGGGTGATGGCGCTTGCTTATCACCGCATGGATCAACCCTACCGGAGAGTCAGCCTAGCGATCCCAGTGTTCTCCCCTGGAGGCCCCATCAGGCTGCTACTGATGGGGCCACATTTGAGACTACCCAATTTATGAAAAGGTCTATCTCCTGCATACTGGAAGGCAGAATAAACTGGAAAGGAAAAGTGACTTGTTCCAGTCGTGCCAGTGGACTACGGGAGATGTAATCCCAGGTTTGCTACCACTTAGGCAAGTAGCCTCTGAAAAGTCACTTAAAACCTCTGTTTTCCAGTCACATCACCTGTAAAACAGGCATTTGATCTCTCAGATGTGTTAGAATTATGATGTGTTGTGAAATACACTGCTTTGCTATGAAGTGATTTATAATTTACATACACAGGCAGAATGCACATATATAATTGCATAAAGTACATTTTACCAAAGCTCTCAATGAATGCTAATTGATGCATGTATTAAAGAGGACATGTGACAGCATGAAGAGGCTGGGGCAGAGACCTCGATAGGGTCGACATGGACGAAGAAGTAGAGAAGGAACACTGTCTAGTGAGTCTTGGACACACAGAAGTAACAGCAGCATTTCCCATCAAGGACAGATAAGTGGAAAGGCTAATCATGTGCAAACAGCAGGTCTGGAGGGAACTTTGGTCAGAAGATAATTAAATGCTATTGGAGAGCTATGGGAATATCGGTTGTTGGAAGTGTCAGCCATGCGGTGGGCAACTTTAGAAAACAGAAAATAAGATTCAAAGATGATGGGAGTTTCTGGGCAATGCAGTGGTGTAATGCAAAAGGAGCCTTGTAAAGAAATCAAGTCTCATGGCTCTACAAGGAAGGAGTGAGCACGCAGAGACTTTGGTCAGCAAGATGAGGCTGTGGAGTAACAGAAGTCCCTAGATCACTGGGATATGGTGTTGTCCTGAGGGCAGGCAAACTCAAGACCTTATGAGGGGCCGGCGCCGCAGCTCACTAGGCTAATCCTCCGCCTTGCAGCGCCGGCACACCGGGTTCTAGTCCCGGTTGGGGTGCCGGATTCTGTCCCGGTTGCCCCTCTTCCAGGCCAGCTCTCTGCTGTGGCCAGGGAGTGCAGTGGAGGATGGCCCAAGTGCTTGGGCCCTGCACCTGCATGGGAGCCCAGGAGAAGCACCTGGCTCCTGCCATCGGATCAGCGTGGTGCACCAGCCGTGGCGCGCTGGCCATGGTGGCCATTGGAGGGTGAACCAACGGCAAAAGGAAGACCTGTCTCTCTCTCTCACTGTCCACTCTGCCTGTCAAAAAAATAATAAATAAAAAAATTTAAAAAAAGACCTTATGAGAAAGGACACAATCTTTTTTTTTTTTTGCAAGCACTTAAACGTAACTATAATTTATGTGACATAAGAATATCCTCCAATCAATACCCTAAAACGAAGTAATTATTCGAGAAC